CAGTCAAGTTTATGTGGATCATACATACTTTACTTATCATACTAAGATAGGAAGTAAATATTGTCCAGTAGAAACCTGAGAAGTCCATGAGGGTTACAGCAACCAAATGGATACACAAAAACATTGTAAAAAGAATCTGTGTGTTTCTGTGTGTAACTGAACAAAAAGAAATATGCATAAATATTACTCACAGCACATATGGTCCACCACCAATCCAAATATAATTGATTTAAATATGCCCACTAAAATCTGAGAACTGCCATCTTGGTTGCTACTTCTCAAGCTAATTCATGAGTTCCCTTTGTCCTTCCACAGTCTCATTTCATCTCAGCTCTGACGGTGGTGTTTGTCAACTCCAAATCGCTGTCCTCGCTGAAGATTGACGACACGCCGGTGGATGATCCGTCTCTGAAGGTGTTGGTGGCAAACAACAGCGACACGCTGAAGCTGCTGAAGATGAGCAGCTGTCCTCACGTCTCCCCCGCAGGTACAGTGAGCGCTCGGACTGCTGCAGCTGTTTCAGTGATCAGGTCGAGAGAAGCAGCCTCCTCATGTTTTTGTTTTGAGATTTTCAAGCCATATTCACCTTGTACTTTCAGTCATATTTTTTATTTAGTTTTTCTGAATCACAAGGTTGTACTTTTTTTTTGTATTATAGTGGCTTTTTTTAGAGCCTTATTAATCTTATCATTTTCTTATCATTCTTCATCTTTCATACATTTTCCTGGAACTGTTTTTAAATGTCAGCTATGATAAAGACTGATAAGATAAGATACTTTATTGATCTGAATCTGGGAAATGTCTGCGATGCAGCAGCATAAAAACACATGGCATTGTACATTAGAGAAATTAAATGACTAGAAATAAAATAGCATTAAAAAAAGTAGAAAATATGTTGAAATACAAATGTAAAGCACCAAAATATAAAAGCAGGATATTATGTATACATTAAGTGTGTAAGGAATGGAATATTAAATATTAAATTGAATATAAATGTCAAATGTACATTGTGATTTTAAGTTCAGTTATCCAAGAGAAGCTATGGAGCAGAGAGTTCTCTTCCAGCCAGTGGAGATTTGTTATATCGAGTTATTGCAGTAGGCAGGAATATGTTCCTGTATCGGTCATTGTGACAAAACATTACACAACATAAAAACCCATGATGAATTTTAGATCATTTAGAAAAACAACAATCTGTCTATATTTGCAGGCATCCTGTGTGTGGCCGACCAGTGCCACGGCCTCAGAGAGCTGGCACTGAACTACCACCTCCTGAGTGACGACCTGCTGCTGGCTCTCTCCTCGGAAAAACACGTCCACCTGGAACACTTGCGGATCGACGTGGTGAGTGAGAACCCCGGCCAGCACTTCCACACCATCAAGAAGAGCAGCTGGGACGCCATGGTGCGCCACTCGCCCAAATTCAACCTTGTCATGTACTTCTTTCTCTACGAGGACGAGTTCGGCCCCTTCTTTAACGAGGAGATCCCGGTCACGCACCTCTACTTCGGCCTCTCCGTCAGTAAGGAGGTGTTGGGCCGCGTGGGCCTGCACTGCCCCCGCCTGGTGGAGCTGGTGGTGTGCGCCAACGGCCTGCGTCCTCTGGATGAGGAGCTGATCCGCATCGCTAAGCACTGCACCCAGCTGTCCGCCATCGGGCTGGGCGAGTGCGAGGTCTCCTGCAGTGCGTTCGTGGAGTTCGTCAAGATGTGTGGCAGGAGGCTCTCCCAGCTGTCCATCATGGAGGAGGTGCTGATCCCAGATCACAAATACTCCCTGGATGAGATCCACTGGGAGGTTTCTAAGCACCTGGGCAGGGTCTGGTTCCCCGACACGATGCCCATCTGGTAAAGAGAAGCCGAAGAGGCACTTCTAGTTTGTGGTGGCCTCCATGTTTGCATAGAAACGCCTTTAAATGCTCAGCTGTAGTGGAATGTGTGGTGCCAACATGGAGAGCGTGAACTGAACTCCAGTCTGGAGTGCAGGGATGTGATGTCAGGCACCTGACTGCTACACAATGTTTTCATGCCATGCAAACAACCCCAAAAATCTCTGCCTGTTAGCTTTACAATAGACTGTGGAACCCCGCTTTGCCTAATCTGGAGACGGGACTCGCCAGGCGACTTCTTTATATTAAACAAACAGCACACAGAACAGAGCAGGTGGAAATATTCCACCAGAAAAACAATATTCCTGTAACTATACATATACACTATACACATTGTTGCCTGATTATGATGATCATTATGATGAGAGATGTGTGTTTGTGTATGTATGCTTATGTGAGTGTGTGTTTTTATTGTTTTTTTTAACATTGTGGATTCATTTGGGAAGATCAGGTTCACAATTGCTTGTTGTTACACTACTGCTTGGCCTACTTTAATCCAGTCCAGCAGCTTGGCACTATTAACAAGATATCCCGTCTCCAAATGGCTGCAATGTTATGTGCACAGTGTGTGAGAAATGGTGTTTTGTCTCATGTATGAGAGGTTTAGTCTATTTGCACAGTTATTAAGATACATATACCAACAATAGAAAACACTAAGTTCAGTGCAGGAGAGTCCTCCCCGTTTATACAGAATGACATTAATACTCATCAAAGACTAAACGGAATACAGCACAACAAAATCTACACTCACAAACACAAAAGAAAGCATAAACGTACTGTAGCAAAAGAAAAGCAGACCTTGGATAAATAGATATGTGCAACCAACAGAAGAATATCGCTATATGTTTAAAGATGAAGTGAGAAATGTATAACTGTCCTACAGCTGGTGAGGACGATAACGGTTTCAGTTTCAAGGGGAAGGCTTCACATAGTTTTGAAGCAGAAGAAATTAAATTATTAAGAGTAGCAGTTTTGTGCTTTCCCTCCTCGCTTGATCATCATAATAACACATGATGGTTCAAACAGTTAAACGTTGACTAAGGGAGAAGTGAAATGTGTATATAGGTCTATTTTTGTAACGTGAAGGTGTGCAGTATTGATTATTGTCATGGATTTTGTTGTTTTCTCTAAAGTATGTTGATGTTTGTTGTTATTTTCTGATACATGCATACATTGGCTTGACGAATTATTTTACCAGTTTTGTTTTAAAGAAGGTTTTTGCACAGTCTTACATTTCCCTGAGCACTTTACGTGAATGAATACCAAATGAAAGGTGTTATTTTGTCCTTTTTGAAAGCACAGAAACATTTTATAAAGCCCTCATTTTGTAGTTCGACCCAGATTGTAATGATAATTCACAGTGTACTGAGTCAGTGCAGTATAGTGATGTTAACAAGCTATAATTACTAAGTAAGAACAGTTAATTCTACTTTAATAACCTGAACAGAAATGTCTGAATTTGGAGGTTGAAATTGCTGCTTCGTAAATATTTTGTAGACATTTCTCTGCAGGTATTAGCTTACAATGCATGCTGGGAATGCATATATATTTCCTAAATAGGTTTCATTTTTATCTTCGACTATGTGCCTGGCCATGCTCTAAACATTAGCTCTATGTTGTGGATACTTCCTTTTAGCGAACGTTAGCTCTGTATCGTGTATCTTAATGATAGGAGAGAAAGACGTCTTAGCAGATAAACATCAGAAAGCTAATGCTCCTCAAAAACATGTGATTCTTTTTACTGTGAAACAAACTTTTTAAGAAGGAAATCAAATGCATCTGTAAATAACGCTGTGTGTTTTTTTATTATGAGTAGAAAAGCTATTATTTCTTTATCTCGCCCTCTGTCGGGGTTTTCTTAACCATCGGCTCGTGTCTTTTATAAAACCAGAGCGCGTGTTGTCCTTTTTTTTGATGGATTATTTCATGCTGTTCTCACTAGAAAAGATAAACTGTCATTTATTGATATGGAAACTGCTTTTGTAATTAATTTGTGTTTTTATGTTGAACAAAAGAAGCAACCTTTATAACCAGCAAGCAGACCAGCAGATTTTATTTTACACCTCCACCTCTGTCAACATGTGGTTGTTGTTCAAAGGTTTTTAATTGACTACGACAAGCTTTGAATGATTCATCAACAAACGGTAACAAAGGAATGTCCTGGTGTCTAATATATTATTATACGGAAGCACAACAAACCCAAAGAAATGGCTCTACTGTACTGTACGTCCGATTTAATTTATAAAAAGTAATACTAACTTGCATTGTTGTTTTTCAGTCACTCGTTCCAAACGTAGCACTATCTTAAGGCAATAAAAAAAAATAACTTAATTTTAATGATTTAATTCATTAAAACACTATATCATTGAATTTAAGAAGACACTTCATTTTAAAAGACAAAATAAAGTATACAAATCTGCAAGAAATTGCTATCAGTCAAATCATTAGGTGATTAAGGGATTTCACTGGAAGACATCATTAAAAAAGTAACACAAGTTATCAGAAGTGGAACAACTTTTGCACAACATGCATAACCCAGATTTGGATTTTTTTTAATTGTATTTGTTGTTTTTTCTGCCAGACTGCATTCCTTTTATCTATTTCTTTTTGACATGCCATGTACCTAAACACTGGACTCATACTGAGACACTTGCTGCTTCTTAGTTTAATTCATTGATAACAGTCTGTTGATTAGTGTCGCTCTCTTCTTATATCACTGGCGGTAGATACCTGCGCTGACTGTCTGTGCTCGTGTGCATTAGCATCTCAGTGGTACGGTAACATATCTCCTGAATTAATTTTCATTATTTGTGCAGCGCATTAAACGGGTGCCGTGACAGCAGCTCTAAAGTGAGGATTGTGTCTCAATGCTGTACTGGTTTAATCATTTTCATGTTGTGTTTATCGGACATTTCAGTTAAAATGCTGATAATCTTTATGATGCCTCTTGTCAGTAACTGTTATTTTTGACCTAAGTTGTTCAGAGTCCTCCAGTAGGTTTCAGTAGCATTAAACTGGTGTTGACCATGCTGTCCTTTTAGTTTAGCTTCTGTAAGGCAAATGATTGTTTTGGACATGTGATCTTTTACCAGTAATAAAACATTTGTGAATGTACTTTTTGTATCTGTCTTTATTATCTTCAAACACTGCAGTCTTTACAATTTGTTAAATAAAACACACAAGTAGCATCCAAGAAATTGGGCAATACATAAAGTAGGAAAAGATATGAACAATGAAAATAAAAACTCTGTACATATACTGTATCTTTAGTTAATCTGTACAAATCTGAATGCAAAACAACCTAAGGCTGGACCTGATGTGGTTATATATATGTACTGTGACACGATAACTAGGTTATTTGAAAAACAGTTCTCCACAAAATCACCTCCAATAGTATTTTGTGTCGGTATTTATCGTTACATTTGGTTAAAAAAACTAAATTATCTCCCTACAGAGTAGTAGCTGTTCTGGAGCTTTTGATGTGTGTCCAAGGCATGGCAGAAGGGGTAACAAAATGGATGTAAACAATACAAAATGTAGAACAAACACTGTTGTAACTGTAAGAAGGAAATGCACACATAAATGATCCTTTAAACTCCAACACCCCTTGATAATCTAATAATTGTCAATCAAGCAAAAAGGCCACCGCTGGTTTCAAATTCTTAGACGGGAAGATTTGCAGCTTTTCAGATTCTTGTTCATATCCTTGGCTTTTGAACGAACAGATCAATCATCGATAAAAAAGTATTTGCAACCCTTCATGAAAACACTCGTAAAAGTTGTATATTAAGGCAAAGGCACCTCTTCATAAGTGATCTGTATATAGGGAGGCTTCATGGGCAGATGCCAGTACTCAAAGTTGTAGTAGAGGTAGAAGCTCTTTTCTAACACGACCTTCTCATACGCCTCCAACAGACTGACGGCAAAGTCTACAAACGTCTGATGGGGTCTGAATGTGTGGTAAAATGTACGGATGTCCCCTGCCAGGTTCTTCAGAGCGGGCTGTCCGAAGATGCTGCTGTCGTTGCCGAGGTAGGTGGGCTCCCCGCTGAAGAGGTAGATCTTGGTGTAGTTGGTCTGTGATCTGCTGGAGAGTTTGGCTCCCAGCTCCGTGAGTTTCCTGTACGTGCGGTGGACAAACTGCGAGCAGTCGTAGGACTCGAACCACACGGTGGCGTTAGGGCTGGGGTCGGAGCGGACTGTCCACGTCTCGTAGTAGATTCCCGTCTCGTTGTCATCCTGCACCCACTGGACCATGTCGTTGAACTGGTTCCCTGGGGAAAGTAAAAAATACAATTACAAATGAAGTCTTTTAATACTAGCAATGCAAAGTGACAAGCAGGAAGTCCAACTAAGGGAGCTTGAATATGTCATAAAACTGTCTTTTACCAGTATTCTTCTGCCTTTATTTGATAGTGATAGTGGAGAGAAATAAGGAATGTGAGGAAAAAGAGTGAACGAATGAGAAGCAGCAAACCTTCCAGCCAACCGGGAAACAAAACGATGACTGTTTAGGGAATTTGCACACATGAGGTATTCGCCCTAACCATTTAACAATCGCTCCATCACTGCAGTTATTAGCAGAAAAGGTCTTTGCTAGGGCCTATATTCAGATGGGATCCACATACATTTGGTGGGACTGACTCACAAATAAACTGCAAAATATTTGACCTCATGTGGCTCAAATCTGCATTTTTAGTAGTTTTATTACAACAAGGAGTACATGGGATTTGTTGACAACAGATCAAATGTGGATAACCACCAGCCTTATCTTTTAATGTTGTTAGATATCAGACCTGAAGTTCCAAAACTAACTATAACACTGTATTGGTATTGTCTTTGGTCTGTATGAGAAGTGTGTACTAGCAAAGAAGTTTTACCTGTAAGTTCTCCTATTTTCTCCAAGGTGCCATTTTGGGACCAGTGTAAGTCCTCGATGCCTCCGAAGAAGCAGGCGGCTCCCTGGTTGCACCAGAAAGGCGCATACTCCTCGGGCCGGATGTGAGGGAAGGTGCAGTTTCCCAGTTGGAACAGCTCATACCACTCCACGGTGAAGTTACTCCCTGTTTCTGAACTGCTGAACCCAATGGCATCATGCATGATATGCTGGGAAGACAACAGAACCATCATACTGGCGTTTTAGTAGACATGGTGGAAAGATGAACAGCTGTGTTTTCATAAATAAACTCACAGGTGTTACTTCCCTTTTTACAAGCTTACTACAGTATTTATAATTATCTTTCTGTGTCAGATGTACCACCTGATCACATGACATGGAAGCTATTGAAAATAAATGCAATGTAAAATCTATTCATGAAACATCAGTGATTAAAAAATACATTTACTATATATATTTTTTGCATAATTTTCACTAGGAAGTTAACATGGAGGTACTAAAAATAACATGGGTTTTGTGCCATTCAAATAGTAATTTATTATAAGTAACTCAGTTCCAAACCCTGTGGTACAAGCATGGGCAGGGTCTGTGAAACTGAATGTGAATGTCTTGGAGGAACTCAAACCCTGACATTATTGTGGTGAGATCTCAGCAACGTGATAACAAGAGAGTTTAGTACCTACCAATTTCCCCAGTAAATCTCCATACTTGAATTCCCACACAGGTGTTTGCAGGCGGTAAACTGAGATGACGTCGCTGTCTCTCATGGAGGGGATCCGTCCATCACTGTCTCCGGTGGGACAGAACGGGAAGAGAGCTTCACAGAAAGAGTCTGCAGCGGGACGACTGTCAACCCGTCTGTGGAGAAGGATAATGATGCATTACTGTGTACATAACTTTATTTTTTTTAGTTGTTTTAATTTCTTTATTAAGGAGTGCAGACAATTCAACAATTTTTCACATTTCCTGGTTTTGGTTTTCTTATTAAAGGAAATTGCACTACTACCCCTCTTTTGTTACATATAAGAAAACAAACTGAATCTAGAAAGTAACTTGCAAATTGTTTAGGCATTTTTATTGAGTGTTGAGTCTGTAAGTGGTTATACAAATATAACAATTATAATACACATGCATTAAAAAGATACTTTGTAAATGTATACACAACTAATAAAGACACTATTCTCTTTTAAATGTGTAAGAACAATAACTCAGTGAGAAATAAATGAAGGAAAGGGAGAAAAATAGCAAGTAAAGTAATCAAATAAATGTAAAAGATATGTGTGTTACTTAGATGTGGTAAAGTAGTATAAAGTAGCAGAAAATGAAAGGAGTGAGGTCAAATACAAACACATAGCAAATTACTTTCAGAGCTTGAATACTTCCACAGCTGATTAAATTAAAATATGCATCACATGCGACTTAAATGAGATGTCCTAAGTGCTCATTCACACATTCCCAAGAGTCCAAAGTTTGCGAAGTCATGTGAACGCACCAGACGTGATATAGTTAACTGATTTCACATCAGCAAAAAGTCCGAATAATAATCAATAATGTTATTTAAGACCAAGTCAGTCTAAAAGGTCAGAAACGATAATCGGAACAAATCTCGTGTAGTTTTAACTTTATTTTCTAGCTGTCCCATGACTTCACGGAGCAGAAACAGTATATAAAAGTCTGTATTTTTACCTGTACGGAACGGGCCACTGCTGCTGTGCATTACTCCTGAAGTGAGCAACAACATGGAGAAACAGGAGCAGGTTCAAACACAGAACAGAGCCCGTGTGAGACATGATCAAAACTCTAAAACTGACTGAAAAGGCAGAAGTTACGGAGACAGATTTCCCATGATCCTTCCCCTTTGAGCGGACTTCCTCATTACCGGTCACATGGTTTTGTTGATTATACGAGATCACATGACAGGAGTTTTTTGTGAAAGCAAAATTGAACAAAATGTTGAAATAAGTAAATAAATACACACAATCATATTTGATGATATGTATCAATATTTAATTAGCTTATTTATTTTAATCTCTTATGCTCATTTACCGGTGTTTATTTTTAATTACCATGTTACTTTTGGGCCCTGATGACAAAAGACTGATTGTGACAGTGACACAATCATATAGAATAAATAACTTATTTTAAATATAGGAAATAAAATAAATAAAAATGGAACAATGAATCAAACAAATGAAATTTAAATTCAAATGAATCAATCATTCGACTAAAAATAAAAACAAAATTAGACTATTAATTATTTTTAAAAATCTACTTCATTTAAAGGTGGGGTAGGTAATTTTGTTATATTCCATGGAATGCTCTTAACATCCCGATAGCAATGAATATCTTAAGAGCTTTGACAAAAAATCCATAAAAAAATGTCATCTGTGGAAGCCGTAGTACTGTAAAAAGCACGACCAATCATTTTAGCCGGCCCGGCTAAAATAACTGGATGGCCTACCTGCCTGTCAGCCTTCCATCTGTGCACAAACTTATCTCGTGCCCTCATTGGTCATGTGCGCCTTCGTGTGTGTTGTAGGAGGGGCTCTATAAGGAAGTGGCAGATTTTTTCTGGCTGTGTATTTTCAAATTCTAGCGATCTCGAGCCGGTTTCTCAAACTTACCTACCCCACCTTTAAGTTTTTTCTGTATCTCAATAATTTTAAATGTATTAATATTTTTGATTTTTGGTTTGCTAAGCAGTCTTATTATTAACATGATTAAGAAAGGCAAAAGACACAACAAAAATAAATAAACACATACAATCTGCCATTAAACTATTTGGTTTGATGTCAATGGAGCAATTACATTTATTTCAGAGGAAACTCAAAATAAAAACAGTAAAGATAAGATGCAACTGCAGGCTAGGACACAGGATGGCGATGAAGCTCTGGGAAACCGCTGGTTAGTGAAAGAAAAACAACCGTAGAAGAAGTGTGCGTCCTCCAAGCTGACAGTCCGCCATGCTCACACTTCTACACTGTGGTCGTAACGTACTGACATTCAGGACCATTCAGACAATAAACAAAAGTTACTACAGCTCTCAGATGGCTAAGCGCGTGGCTGTGGTTTTGGCGGGCTGCGGAGTTTATGACGGCAGTGAGATCCACGAGGCCTCCGCTGTCCTGGTCCACCTAAGCAGGGGGGGTGCGACTGTAAGTTTGATAGGACAGCTTTCACATGCAACTGCTAATGTGGCTGTATGCTATGTTGTTTATATCTCACAGTGCATTGTTTGACCCACTCTGGCTCTGTTACACAACTCAATTACACACAATGTGCTTGTGCATAATGGTTTTAAAGGATATGTTGGTTTACAAGCATCAAAACAAAACTCACATGACCATATTATGTGCGTTGTAAGAGTTATTGGTTGTGGAGTGGGAGGAGTACGTTACTCAGATGGTATACAATAAGGAAAAATAGTTCTGTGCAGAAATGTTTTTCTCCCATTAGTGAATCCAGTCCTTGTTACCTGATGAGACCAATCAATTAGGTCTTGTACCTTCCAAAGTTGCCTTTATTTTAATGTATAAAACTCCCACTTTCCCAGACAAATGCATTAATTAATTTGTTGTATCAAGTAATTGGCAACAATTCGGACAACTTATTAATTTATTGTATAATTAATCATTTATTAATATATTTTGGTTATGAAATGTTGGTCTGACAAAACAGGCAATTGGCTCGCATGATGTTGGTAATACTTTTACGAAGAAGAAACTAATCATTATTGCGTGTCCTAATGTTGTCTAGTGTTAGTATGTTTTTATGTTATGAAATGAGTCCTCCCTTTTGCTTTATCCACTACAGGTAAACATGTTTGCTCCCAACATGGAGCAGATGCACGTGGTGAATCACTTGAAAGGCGAACCGTCAGAGGAGAAGAGAAACGTGTTGGTGGAGAGCGCGAGGCTGGCCCGTGGAAACATCCAAGACCTGTCCAAGCTCAGCGTCAAAGACCATGACGCTATAATATTCCCAGGTTTGATCACAACATGATAAACCTCCAATAAAGGACAATCTATATCCTTTTCCGCCCCTTGATCTACAACTGCTTGAATGACTGAAATAATCATTTTTTATAATGATTGTAGGTGGTTTTGGGGCAGCAAAGAACCTCTGTACATGGGCGGTGAAGGGGAAGGACTGCTCCGTTAACGACGAGGTGAAGGCCGTGCTGCAGGCGTTCCACGGCGAGGGAAAACCCATCGGCCTCTGCTGCATCTCACCTGTCATCGCTGCCAAGGTGTTTCCTGGCTGTGAGGTCACCGTCGGGATTGAGAAGGATGACAAGTGAGTCTAACTTCCCTGTTTCTTTGGAAATACATTGAAAGCAACAAACACACTGTCAAATTCCTTGTGTTGGTACACCTACAACAGTGCTGATCTTGATTAATATTGTATATTTAAGAATGTTGTGGTTCCATATAAAGCTCTATTAAGTCTTATAGGCTGTGCTGCTTGGAGCTGAAGACTATACTGACTTGTATCTCTCTCTCTCAGCTAGCGTATTGGGATACATTAGCAGCTGCTAGCTCAACACAAGTTGCATTGTTCGTAATTTAGGCGCCACGTAATGCATAACATCAAGTAGTGCAATGCTTATTTGTTGGGGTACACTTTTACCTTCTTATTTTATTATTTTGCAATATCACTAAAAAGAAGTCTGATAACCAAAAATACGTTTTTTTTTTGGGAGAAAAAACAAGATGTGAAGTTCATTTTTCGTCCTAAACACAAAGTTGTACTTTATGAATAACCGGTTCAGAAAATCTGTCTAAACTGCTGCTGTGTCTGATTTCGTAGCAAAAAAGCTTAAATATTTTTGGAAAATGTAAGTGTGTTCAAAATCAGAACCTGCTTGCATATCTGCATTGGAGCAGATTCATAATTCAATATCATGATGAGCCTTAAAATAGTAACATATATAAATCTTCACATGTTAATGGCTTCCATCTTTAAGCCTATTTTTCACATGTCCTTTCACTATTCACTGAAAAAAACGTGTATTTCCTTATAAGCAGCTGAACATTGTGTGGTGCTTCTTTCCCTCTCTCAGGTATCCCAACACCACCGACACCGCAGCGGCCATCACCGAGCTGGGCTGCAAACACGTGAATAAGAGCGTCAGTGAGAGCCACGTGGACGAGACGAACAAGCTGGTCACCACCTCTGCGTTCATGTGCGAAGCTCCAATACATGAGATATATGATGGAATTGGTACGATGGTGCAGGACGTGTTGAAACTTGCTTGAAATGGCTAATGCTCAAAAATGGAGGCTGTCGTTTTAGAGAGCTTAAAGGTGGGGTATGTCATTTATTTCAGAAACACTGTTTGTTATATTCCATGGAATGCTCTTAACATCCCGATAGCAATGAATATATTAAATGCTTTGACAATAAATACATAAAAATATTTCATCTGTGGAAGCCGTAGCGCTGTAAAAAGCCCGGCTAAAATAACTGGATGGCCTACCTGCCTGTCAGCCTTCCATCTGTGCACAAACTTATCTCGTGCCCTCATTGGTCATGTGCGTGTTCGTGTGTGTTGGAGGAGGGGCTCTGTAAGGAAGTCTGAAGGAAGGGGCAGATTTTTTTTCGGCTGCGTAATTCTAGCGCTCTCGAGCTGGTTTCTCCAAAATTACATACCCCACCTTTAATAGTAGCTGCCTAGTGCCTACTGAACTAACTGATATAATAATGATACAGTAACTCCAGGATTAAAAGCACTTCCAGATAGACTACTTAAATATACACATTTGTAGCAGTAATGTGCACTATATGTTCTGATTAATTGAAAAAATAATCTCCGTTTGAAGCAGTGATTCAGTATTGTGATGTCAATGCAAATCACATTTTCAACAGCAACTAAGTTATTGTAAAGAAAATGCAATAAAATGAAAAAAAAACACTTTTGCTGTTCACTTTATTTCTTACCCCTTGGAAGAAAAATCAATACAAATATTTACATTATGATTCTTGTGTTGAACATTTTAAATGTCTTCACACAGATATAACACACTCGGTACATAATTTTTATCGTATATTTACAATCTTCGCTGGCTGTAACACTGCTCCTGTTGACTGCTTGTCAACCTGAGATATGAACCCAGGATTGAGCATTCTCTCACTCTCTCCATGTTTCCTACCACATCGATCAGGCCCTCCACACCCTCTGAACACAACACTGAAGAAGCATTAACACTGAACTTGTCCACCAGATCCTCCTGACTCAGTGGCTTCCTCCAGTGGCCGTAAAAGGTATCACATCTGGCTGCGTAACTCTGCCCCTGATCTGTTTCTATCTCAACCTCACAGTACATCTTGTCAAAGCTGGGTTGGTTATCTTTAGGGGTCTCCACTTTCACTTTGGAGAGGAGCTCCTTCAGTGCAGGCCGGTTAATCTGAGCTTCACTGAAGGAAGACACGGTCACTTTGTTATCCAGCAGGGCGGAGGAGGCGTTGAACTGAAATGAGTGCCTGGCTTGGTGCTCTGTGGCAGGTAAGGGGCAGTCGACATACTTGGAGGGAGGCACTCTGAGTGTGACCCTTCTGATCTGCCTAAGGTCAAAGTTTCTGACTGTGTTTTCAAGCTTTGCCCGGGCTGCCAACGCTGCATCCACAACCCAGTGCATCCCCAGGTGAGCAGGGATGCGTTTGAAGGCTATATCCTGGTCTTCCAGCATCCATTTAAAGTCACCAGAAGCAGGAACTGTCATTGCTGAAGGACTGTAGTCTTTGTAGTAAACCCCAAACCCACTGGGTATATCCAGGATGGCTGGGTTCCCCTCCAGTCCCATCTGGGCCAGCTGGGCAGCCTCCAGCCCTCTGCGAGCAGCGTTCCCGATGTGGAGAGGTTTGGTCTGCGTGGCAGCGTTGGCCAGAGGAGCCCCAGCAGAGGAGGCTGCGATGGCCAGAGCGTGGATGCACTCTGCGGGGGACAGAGCCAGGAGCTTAGCTGAGGCTGCAGCGCTGCCCATTACCCCAACTACACTGGGGGGGTGGAATCTGAGAGAGGGGGGAGAAGAGGAAGGAAGAGAAACAAACCAAGAGAACATATTTGAGTTTAAAACATCGATAATTAAGATCAGAGATTAGTGATTGAATAATACATTTTTATGTAATCGATGAAGTCCTTGAAAAAAGATTACATTTATTGAGTTTATAAAGTTATTACTGTCTGAAGGATTAGCTGGGTTTCACTTGCTCTTGTTTTGTTTGACAAAACAAGCAGTTTGAGGATGGGAAAGACAAATAGTGAATATAATTCTTCACTATTTGCTGACATTTTATAGACTAAATAATTATGTAATTGATAAAATAAATAATCAGCAGATAAAATATTGGCCCAATAAGTTATTTAGAACCCTATCTGATTCTTCTGGCAAAAACAACCACCTTTTTCTTTCTTTTTTTCTACATTTATTTCCTTGGTGTTAGACACTTGGTGTTAGACATTTGTGTCTGAGATTTCTATTTGCGGGGTTCACAGCGCTACAGCATGGGAAAAAGTATTTTATTTAAAAATAATCTACAAACCTTGCTGTTTATGAAAACTCTTGAGAGTGAGGTTTATGGATTTTTAATGAGGTGAGGTGTTTCTGGCAAGTGATGTTTCTGTTGGATGTATTTTTTAATGCTGTGATTACCACCTCCTTTCCTGAAACACCTCATATAAAAAGAAACAAATGTGTCTGGCTTGATACCACCAGAAGTAGATGTTGTACTTTAGTAATTTAGGGGAATCAAACCCTTTAACACTCACATATATTCCCAGTGTCCAGTTTACCATTGGACATACATTTGCATATTCTCTGATTTTGGTCGATATTACTGAATATCTCACCTCTCAGGAATGTTGAAGGCCTCTCTGGAGAACCTCATGAGTCGGCCCTGCACTTCAATGCCCACATTGAAGGCCAGCAGCAGGTCCAGACCGGAGGGCCGGCTGGGCAGCGTCTCAGCGAGGGCCAGCAGGGCGGGGAGCACGGCCCCCGAGGGGTGAGTGGCCGGGTGCCACGTGTCGTCAAAGTCCATGGAGTGAACCTGTTGCCACACAATGAGACAGAACAGATAATCGGAGGTCAAACCATCACATTATCTGTATGTTTTCTATAGTTTATGATGCATTTATTTGATTGAGCTTACCGCTATGCCATTGACAAATGCAGCGTAAGGAGGAGGAAGAGTGATCTGGGATTTACCCCAAACACTGCTCCTCTCGTCAGACTTGAAGGACTGTAAGCAGACAATATTGTGAGGATCAGTAACAGTACAAATGGATGTTACTCTACGCTTGTTGCTAATTTCTATCAAACAATTATAAACAAATGGCAGCCAAAAAGGGAAAATAACTAACAGGCCTGAAGAAGCACAGGAAGCAGAATTATAATGACATAATCTGATTAAAAAAAGGAAATGAATCACAGTACAATCGATATATTTGACAGGTGTTAAAGACAGTAGCTTAGTATTTTAGTTTATTTTTTAACATAGACACCTTCTTATGAGGGCAAATAAAGAGAGATTTAATGGTGACAGTTTGATACTAATAGAAGAAGATTTATAGTATCCAAATGAATGATGACAGATATTAATAGTATTCATAAAAAATATTATATAAGTCATATTTGTGCTTTTTTTGGAATGCTTCTTAAGTAATAAATCATCTTAATTTTTTCTCATTAGATTTTTACATTTAAATGATGTTATACATTGCCATATTTCAGCAGGTTTAACATACCCACACACAGTAGAGCAGTTTACTGTACCTGGCTGTACGTGAGAGCCTTGTTAAAGACAGCTGTCCTGCTGCCTATTAGCCCAACACCCAGGGTGTCCAGCATCATCCTTTTGCTCCTGCTAATCACACCATCTGTCAGCTTGGTGGTGTTTAGAGCATGGATGGCAGCGCCAAAGCTCTCTGTAATACCCTGCAAAGGTGAAACAGGGCCAGTCAGATCAAATGCAAACCACCCCAGAGAGAGTGCAGTGGTAAAGGATCGAACAAGTACAAGTATTTCAAAAATATGCCTAATATATGATATTAAATACTCAATATGTCACTTAATTTAATTTAAAATACTTAAAAAAGCTCAAAACAAATAGATAAAAGACAAAAATAAACATAAAAAACAAACATACCTTGCGTAGCATTGTTTGGAGCAAATGTCTTCAAGTGACCAAACATTGCAGTGCAGCCGACTTTTATAGGTAATCACTCTATCTGAAGGCTGGTCTACCAACTTTCCAAAGTGGCTAAAGACCGCCATAATGAGAAGTAGGAACTTTCACAATGACTAGACGGGGTCAAACAAAATCAGTTGTTTCTGCAATTTCTTGAAAGCCATATCTTAGAAAATTAAAGTAGTGGTATAAAACCGCCATTAGTTGTGTTTGCGACGGATGCATGTTATAAAGGAAATCACAGAAGAAAGAAATACAAATCATCACAGTGAACTGTTGGCTATTATTAAGTCTGCTGAAATATATTATTACATTATTACAAACATGTAATAATGTAATTGTTGTTAGACGCTTTTATCCAAAGCGACTTACATACTCAATACTGTGGACAATCCCCACAGGAGCAATTTGGGGTGAAGTGTCTTGCCCAGGGACACAACGACATGCTATATATAATATAATATATATAATAATAATAATAGAAGTAGTAAGATTACTTTATTTTGTATCAAGTGACCATCTGGCTTGGGCAGAGCATATTATCTGCTGTCTTTCACAACAAGTTCTTAGATGACAGATCGTGGAAATTCAGCTCTCAGCAATGGGACGTTTTGAACAGGGAAATGAGCCTCAACCAACAAATGGGCAGCACATGACAAGAGGATGTGTAATTTCAAACAGCTGGGAAATGTATATTTACAAACCACACACTTTGACCGTAGTTGTTTAGAAAGATGTAAGTCAGCTTTAGTTTAAGTCTGTATTTATACACAGGAGGAATAACCCTCACTGACCTTGCTATAAATAACATGTTCCTCAAATACTCATTTTCCAATAAAAGTACAACATGTATGTATATTAATGGGCAGATTTGCATCACAATGCTGCATCTTAAGCATTTCATGTTTATAAGTAACGTTTATTAGTATAGATGGAGTAAAATGTACAACATTTCCCTCTGGCAAGTGAGGTAGAAACACGGGAAGCTGCACACAATGAATATACTCAATGTAAAAACAGCAAAAATGTAAATGTAGTTACATCCATCCCACCACAGCTAACCTTCTTGACTGATACCCAACATATTCAATTAGAAATTTGAACCTTGATGGTCAGCATTTTTGTATCTCCTAAGTTGTTCAAAGGGCTGTGTGTGTGTGTGTGTGTGTGTGTGTGTGTGTGTGTGTGTGTGTGTGTGTATGTGTGTGTGTGTGTGTGTGTGTGTGTGTGTCAGCTGCATTTCCATCAGAATTACAATGGGTGTCACTCTTTCCATATTTTATAACAAATTCTTGACTTCAAAGCTAGAATAAGTCATGGTTTCTGGTTCTGTATTTTCATATGGGACTTGCAAAAATACATTTCAACACAATTTATTTTAATTAAATAAACATTCATGGCGTAAGATTTATTTAATGTGAAACAGGGCAGGAAACTGAAATGACACACAATCAGATGAGAGAGAGGGTTTGCTTTAAGTGATGCTGGGAGAGACTCTCTCTTTCTCTCTCTCTCTCACACACACACACACACACACACAGATAAATAAAGAGAGAGAGATTCACAAGGCAAGGCAGTCATGTTATAGTTAAATGTTAATTTTACAGTTGTCACGCACGCACGCGCACTCACGCACGTGGTAAGAGCAGGCTTCATAAACAAGCCTCTGCCTCTCAGTCGCTCAGTGTTTCCACTGATCTCACATCAGTGCAGCGGCTCAGAGAACATGGCACTGGCCGACACAGAGCGCGCAGTGACCAACTGCAGCGACCCGGGCACCCCGTTCTCAGAGATTATCGAGCTCAATGTCGGGGGACAGGTTTATGTTACCAGACACAAAACTCTCGTGGCCGTCCCAGACTCGCTGCTGTGGAACATGTTCAGCAAGAAGTCACCCAAAGAGTTGGCGAGGGACAGCAAAGGGCGCTACTTCTTGGACAGGGACGGCTTCTTGTTCCGCTACATCCTAGATTATCTCCGAGACCTGAACTTGGTCTTGCCGGACTTCTTCCCGGAGAAAAGTCGGCTGCAGAGGGAGGCTGACTTTTTCCAGCTGCGGGACCTTGCCAAACGCCTTAGCCCCCGGGTGAGTAAGGACAATTCAATCTGCGAGGAGATCAGCCAGAGCGACACGGAGGAAGGTGCGCAGCAGTGCGGCTCCTCGGCAGGCATGGAGACTTTACGCGCCATGTCGGTCAGCGGGGCCACGTGCTCCCCGTCACTGGACTCCAGAAAGCCGGGCTATATCACGATAGGATACCGAGGCTCGTACACCATTGGCAGAGACATCCAAACCGACGCCAAATTCAGGAGAGTGGCGCGCATCACGGTCTGCGGGAAGACGGCCCTGGCCAAGGAAGTGTTTGGAGACACGCTGAATGAGAGCAGAGACCCGGACAGACCCCCGGAGAGATACACATCCCGGTACTATCTCAAGTATAATTTTCTAGAGCAGGCATTTGATAAGTTGACCGAGGTGGGCTTTCACATGGTGGCCTGCAGCTCCACAGGCACCTGCGCCTACACCAGCAATGATCCAAACGAGGACAAAATTTGGACAAGCTACACTGAATATGTCTTCTGTCGGGAGCAGTAAACATGTCAAGTTTATGTAAATAGACATTTCTTAATCTAGAGGGGGATGTCTTAAAACAGTATTGCATTTGCTGTGTTGAATGGTATCGCTTTTCAAGGGCGAGTGAATGCGAAATATTGCTTCATTATTCTAAGAATAGACAAATACAAGTAGCCTATTACCACGTCTGTGGTAAAACAGATACAGTGAGATGCCACCATAGACTATACACAAGAGGAGTTTGGATGTTAAAAGTGTGCAAACATAGTTTGAGTGTACACAGTACACACCCATCCACAACAGTTTTGTGTATAAGCATCAAGAAGATGTCATCATCATCTGCACCTCATATAACTGCATATCAATGTTTCTGTCATTTCTGACTCAGTGCTGTGGGAATTGAGTGGCATCCAAAAACAGACAAGCAGCGATTAGTATTCAGTGTTATTGTAATTTTTAGGCTTGCTCGATCACATGTTTGGCCAAGTTTTGTACTATTAGACTTGGATACATAGCAGTTCTATGACATGATACAGTGTATGTGATTGCTTGGTAGAGTTGTTCTGTTCAAATGAAATAAAATATTGTATTTGGTTATTCTCAGCCTCTTTGCCAAACATCCCATATTTTTCTCAACGTTGTCTGCACACAGTGTATAGGATAAAAATACTAGCATTCATCTCCCTGCAACCTTTTCAACTTTAGTCTGAGGGGAACCAAAGAGTCAGCCTCAGCGATGCCAGCCATCATGGCACAGAAGCGGCTAGTCAACAAAGTCTGTCACAGTTTTCACTTAAAAAATACCAACATGAACTTTGATTGACTAATCACATTGTACCTTTTTTCTATTTGACCTCGCCCTGTTGCAGAAGCAGAAAACCTCTGAATATAGTTAGCATGTAAATACTGTAGGAGGACCGTTGTCCATATCTATTTTGTCACACAAATCCACTAGCATGCTGTAGGGATGCTAATATTGCAGCTGCACACACATGATGTCATTATCATTTCAAGTGTAAATAATGAAAGGGTCCAGCTGCACACAAATGGGAGGGTCCAGTATGCAAAGGAGAAATAATGGAGAGTCGACCTCCGCCATGGAGCAGAATTATGCCTAGTGTATACAGCCAGCCCTGGATTATGCATTTCATTCAGACATCTTAAAAAAGAAGCCTTACATTTAAAAGCCAAGGGTCGGTGACCGCACATCAGGGGCTTATAGACCAGAGGAAATGATGTAACCCCTCTCTGGGTTTCATGCACTTATACATCATGCGTTGTGTTCAATAAATTGCCCCAAAGAGTCAGTAAATGTTCTGTGTGGACCGGGAAACCTTTCAGGGATGGTGATCTTTTTAGGCAGCATTGTGAATACATAAATACTCAAATAAGTTTACTTTCTCATCACCTAGGACCATTTTAACTTTAACACTATTATGGCTTACAGGGACAGTTGAGCCATTGTTAATGTTATTGGTAACACCTGAGCTTTCCCATAATATGTCATAATATCTGGTGTAAAAAAGTGTGCCTATTAACGGTTTCTGTTCGGTTAAATGCACATCAACAGTAGGTCAACAAGTGAATTATAAATGGACATAATATACATTTAAATCAAGAAGTATAGCCCTATTACAGCCAAGTAAAAACACATTACATTTTGCTTGAGCAAGAGTCTCCATCATTAACTTTGTATTGATTATTGCCTAATACCAGTCTAAATAATTTATCTTCAGTCAAAGCGTGAGGTTTTTGGGGAAGAAAGCTTTATCTGAAGACCTGAATTGGATCTAGCTATTTACTGTACAAACATAATCCAGATTAGCGACACACAAATGGAGCAGCTGCGGTAACTAAGAAGATTCTTTCCAGCCATCTGCCAACAAACTGTACAGTATTATGAACCATTTTAGTCAAATGTATCTGGCACTGTAAAATCATTAGCTAAGATATTGTCACATATATATCTAAATTAGTCTTTGTCAAATAGGTGTCTTTTCAACAGGCTGGTTTTTTTAAATAAATATGTTGGATCCTTGAATCATCAGACACCTTTAAAGAAACAATCCTGATGAACGCAAGGTGTCTTAAAAAATATATAAATATCCCATTTTTGATAGATATTGTTTCTTGTGTATTCAAATGAGTCAACAACTTGTAGGGGTCTTGAATAACTGCCATTAAACCTCGCATGGTCCAGTTCCTGCCAGACTTTGATCATATTAAAATAGTCAAATAGGCCCAAGAGCTTATTTCTTTGAAGTTTTTTATAAAATGTAAAAAAAAAACAGTATTAATGTCTCTGCACTAACTTGAAGAATGAAGGGAATCGCCCTGGATCAGTCAGCAGTCTGTCACATATCAGCAAACAAACAATCACAGACTCACACCCACAGTTACACACAGTATGTCTCCACAACGCTTGCATGTCTGTGGGCTGTGGGAGGAAACCCACTCAAACATGTGCAGCAAAGTCTGTCATTTACTGTACTGCAGGACAACAAGCTGTTGCAGCACATGCATTTGTGAGCAATGAGTAGTTTAGAGAGAGCAGGATTTTATACCTCCCTTAGGGACGCCTATTATCTGTAACTTGAATTAAATGATAAGAAATCACAAATGAGAGTCCATTTGGATATGAAAACATTGTTAAACATTACGACTTAGCCACATACAGTATATTTATATACCAGTCACGGTATCTGATGTCATTTGAATTTAATTACTTATTGACTTGCACACAATTTGTTTTGAGAAGTATTGTTTGACAAACACAAAGAGAGGGAGGAATAAAGAAAACAATATAACAGAAAAACCATTATGATTCTAGTTAGTATTGAACTGTGAGAAGTAATGAAGAATGCTGTAACAATATAAACCACATAGTATGGAAAACACGAATTAGAGACTGACAATTCATTAAAATTGCCTTGACTGTGTTACCATTCATTAAAATGGAAATGCAATAAATGGGTTGTCAGGTTTTCGAGCAAGTGATGGTGTGATAATAAAGAACAATAGAAGGAGGCTCGGGGGAAAAATGTAGTTGAGGTCTGGAGGAAATAGTAAGATTGGAGAGAAAAATTACTTTTGATTATCAGCCATTGTTGCTGTTCCTTCCTCCTATTAATATGAGTAATACTAATGTGAGCATGCTCCGTGTTACCTCAGCAGATCAGGACTGTTTGAATTCCTCGCATGGGTCCAGGATGCGCTTCAACTTCCTGAGTTATTTTAGATCAAAGTGGCTTTCATTAGCACATCACAACAGTAACTCCGGACCAAAGGCTTCATTACTCTAATGAAATTCTGAGTCAGAAATACATTTCAAACTTGACTGCAGGGGATGAGCCTCAGTCAGAGCTCATAGGAGGTTTCTGCTGTTATTAGGCATAACATTATAGTGTTTCACATGGTGAGCCCAGGTATTAGAGGATCTATAACACAATGTCCATTTACCTTTACATTTAATAATAATAATAATAATAATAATACATGGCATTTACATTGGGCTTTCCTGGTGCTTAAGATGTAACCACAATCTGCTTTTATATTAAAATGTACAGCGTCTATTTGTAATTTAACACAGACAACTTGTTACAAAACAAAATCAACAACCCTCATGCTCAAGCTTCAATTATATGTTTAATTCATAAAGAACAGTATGCTTATATTTAGCAAAATATGAAACAACTATGATGCAGTCACTGCAGTCACTGTTTTGTTAAATAAATGTGGTCTAATAAACATTATAATAGATAATGGATAAGGTGCTCAAGTTGATGGATTTATGGATGTGTCACAAGACGGTAAAAAGAAAAAAGTAGGAACAAACATACTGGTATGTCTAGCTTTAGTTGAAAAAACATTAAGAGAAATAAGGCAACTAGGGAAAAGGTTCTCACTCAAGAAAATAAAGAAATTAAAGCTGTGTTTGCTTATTAAATGAGATCTTGGCAAGATATAATGAGAAGAACAGCAGCAGGACCAAGAATAATAGCACCAGAAATAGTATGTCAGTGATAGTAGTGATTATTTATCTGACTCAGAAGAACACTTTAGCCATAGAGTGCAAAGGGTCAGCAGCTCGAGTCACACATGTGTCTGCATTTAGATACAACACCTCTGTTACAAAACTAAAATACAGGTGAGATATGGGAAAGGAAAACAGTTTGTCCTGCTCAGTTTGTTATTGTTTTAACACCAGTAACATCAGACTGAGCATCTCAAATACAGCAAAGGATGTTGCATTTGATTTCCCTGAGAGTCTTTAATGAGCATTGCTCTCTTAGTTCAGACTCCTTTCATTTTAGACTTCTGCTAGAGATTGCAAATGTCCTCATTGTGATCAGCAGCATCGAGGCTGATGCAATGTGCCCTGATCACCTGAGCGGAGATGCTGCTCTCTCTACTCACGTGGCCATTAAACCTCCCACCTTTCACACCAGTTGTAAACATTACAGTCATCCAATAGAAAATGCTCTTTCCGCAGCAGCTTAACAAACGCACTCGCCTCACGTGGATACCTTTCATTTGAGTGGTCTCCAAATCCCAAATATAATTGCAAATCAAATGTCCTTTTTAAACAAATTGATATTTGTTATCTGCTTGATTCTCTGCTCAGTTTTAATTTGTGTTTAGCCGGCTGCAGACGACCTTTATGCCTTTTACTATTTCATCACTGCAAAAACTCTGCTTGTGTTTGCACGGTGTTGCTTCCAAACTTTAAATGTTAGGTTACGTCTGCACGAATGTGGTTCTCATTCAAGTGGTATTCAGAGGCTTTGGTTTTTAGGAGCCAACGCTGTAGTTTAGGGCTTTCCACATCTGGCTCGGTTTTGAGAATAAGCCTTGTTTTGGAGACAGAATTATAGGGTGCTGTCGCATAAATAATGACGGGGGAGATGATCAAGTCAGATGCTTACATCGGAGCATAGAAATAGGCTTGATTAATGTATTGATGTTTTAGTCGGCACATAAGTGTAGCGCAGAATCAGGTGGTGTTCTGGGGATAACTGCAGCAACAGCTCTAGCAGTACAATACATGGTGATTACTGAGCGGCCAGGGAAAAGGCAATCAATTATTGACAGCCCCTTTATACCTCAGAAAATCCAATATACCCTTTGATAGCTTCACTCAAATGTACTTTCAACATCACTCTGGACCGAAACCACTTTTCAACCCTTGCATTTAGATAAGAAAAAAAAAACTAAAAAACTTTGAACAGAGAGAAAGCAAGAAACATCAGGAGGGGCATTTGAGGATGCGTTAGATGTTTTGTGTACATAAAAGATCAACACAACATTATAATAAAGATAATCGAAAGGAAAAAACGATATACATTTAACGTAAAAATATCTATCTATCCATCCATCCATCTATCTATCTATCCATCCATCCATCCATCCATCCATCCATCCATCTATCTATCCATCTATCCATCCATCTATCTATCTATCTATCTATCTATCTATCTATCTATCTATATATCTATCTATCCATCTATCTATCTATCTATCTATCTATCCATCCATCTATCTATCTATCTATCTATCTATCCATCTATCTATCTATCTATCCATCTATTTATCTATCT